AAGGTTGTCAAGTCTGAAACTTTCTGGAAAGATGTTGAGACTACTGTTAATTACTTTGAGCCATTAGCTACTGTCTTGAGGAGAATGGACAGTGATGTGCCAACAATGGGGTTCTTATATGGGTATCTACTAGAGGCTAAGAATGAAATCTCTAAGAGGTTCAACAATGACAGAAAAAGTTTGAGGAAGTTTTTCACTTCATTGACAAAAGGTGGACACGATGGTGAAGACACCTTTACATAGGGCTGGTTACTACCAACCCTTTCTACTATTATCAAAACAAGGTGGCTATAGAGGAGAATGAATCATTTAGAGATGGTGTAATAACTTGCATTACAAAGCTTGTTCCAAATGAAGACACTCGGGACAAGATTATTGAAGAGCTTCAAAAGTTTCAAGATCTTTGAAGGATCCTTTGGGAAAGACATTGCTAAAAGGCGAAGGCAAAAATATTAATTTTGATCCGGTATGAAAAATTGTCATCTAGCACAATCAGCTTTTCACTTTTTAGCTAAGTGGTGTCTCAATCATGTCCTCTGTTTTTCACTTTTTTAGCTAAGTGGTGGCTCAATCATGGAAGTAGTGCACCAAACCTCGGGAAGTTAGTCGCTAGAATTCTAAGTTTGACTTGCAGTTCATCGACTTGTGAGAGATCTTTGGAGTTCCTTTGAACAAGTATGAATCTGATTTCATTACATTGTTTCGCAATCCTTTCTTCAGTCCTCTTATTGAAATAATAAAATATAAAATCAAACCTATGCAGGTCCACACAAAGATAAGCAACCGGTCGCTTCATGATAGAATGAGGGATCTTGTGTTTGTCAAGTTCAACTCAAAAGCGAGGCAAAAGAAGGACAAAAGGACAGAGATCCCCTTGAGAAACCTGTTCTTGATGCTTTAGAAGATGAAGACAATGAGTGGATCAACGGGCATTGATCCAATAGAAGTAGATCCAGAGCGGGAAGGAGAAACGCAACATCATCACATGGAGTTGTAGCTGCACCTCAAGGACAAGAAAGAAGGAAGGCGGTACCCGGACCGTGAAGAGAAAGAGGTTGATCCCTACCACTATTGAGGATGATGACTTATCTGCTTCATCTTCTGATGGAGAGAATGCCAATGATGGCATTGATTTTAGTTCTGATTCTGAGACTTAATGAGCCGATGTGTTTTGTGAGTTGTGGCTTTTGTCTTTTAAAAACTGTGCGGATGTTAAGTACTTAAGTGTGCCGTTTGCTCTTATCTTATGACTTATCATGGGAATATGTTATCAATTTATCATGGATGTTATGACTTTATCACTTTGTGAGTTATTATTATTATGATTATGAATATGAACTTATGATTATCATGGAAATATGTTTAGTGTTTAGTTGTTTGCCTGTTTGGCTATTGTCTGAATGTATTTAAATAGCGTGCTATAGCGCCGCTATAGCGTGCTAAGCTATCTGGTGCTATGTCATATAGCTGCCGCTATAGCGTGGGTATAGCGGCGCAATAGCGGCGCATAGCGGCCAGGACAGGCTGCCGCTAATTTCTATAGCCCGCCATTTAAAACGTGGCGTACAATATATGTATATGCATGTAATATATACATTAGTTTCATAGTTTAGTTTGTACAAAATGTTCGAACATTATAAACGTGTAGAATACGTATATTATTAGCAGCGTAGAATGCGTATTCGAAAACCTATTCGAAAACCAAAACGATTCATCAATTGAAAAAAGAATCAAAAAAAAAAAGAAAACCTTTAGTCCCGGTTGGTAATACCAACCGGGACTAAAGGGCCGACCCACGTGGCCAGGCCAGAAGGCCTCTTTAGCCCCGGTTGGTATTGACCTTTAGTCCCGGGCGCCAAACCGGGACTAAAGGAGGGGCCCTTTAGTCCCGGATTCGTGCTCCCGGTTTTAAATCCGGGACTGAAGGGGGTTGAGAACCGGGAGTACAACCCGTTTCTGTACTAGTGATTGTCTTGGTATCTATGATATCCATTTCAATAGATTTTATTTAGTTTTTTGTGCAAACCATAGTTTCTTGCATCAGACCTAGGCCCTATTTGTTTCAGATTTTATCTAGCTTATTATGCCAACCATAAGCAAGAAGCTAAAACAAATAACCCAACCGTTGAGCTGGCTTTTGAAAAGCTTGAAAGGTAGCTTCTGAGGAAATGAACTAAAAGCTGAAAAGCATGTTCTGAGAGCTTAGATGACTTTTGGTGTGCTGAGAGCTCAAAACTTATTAAAAAAACAATAGAAAAAATAATAGCCAAAAGCCAGAGAGTCAGCTTTTAAGCCAAAAAAACCCCAAAAGCAACAAGTCAAACAAACGGATCCGTAATTTCTTCTCTCTGCTTTAATTCTATTGTCATATTAACAAATTCTCCTACACATAACACCATATTAAATCGTATGAAAACTATGGGATTGCTAGCCAAAAAACCCAAAAGCTACAAGTCAAACAAACATACCCCTAATTTCTTCAATCTGCTTTAATTCTATTATCATATTAACAAATTGTCCTAACACCATATTAAATCGTTTGGAAACTATATACTCATAGCAATGGGATTGCTCTCATAGCTTGGGCTCGTACTAAGGACTCAGAAATTGTGCTCATATATGGGTCCATTGACAAAAACATGGAGCAACTAACTATTTTGAATGGTATAAGAAACAATAATATGAATACAATAATGCATTCAAGGAGTCATTTTCTACACATCTATATTAGCGGTTTTCTGTTGTCATGGTAGTCTTGCATATAACCTATAGATGGCCATGCAGCCCGCAGTCCGATAGCCCAGCCCGAAGCACGGTTTTTTGCCCAGCTTGAGCATGGCATGGCCCGGTGTAATGCGGACCTAGGCCAGAATGGCCCAATGCACAGAGCCATGCTTGGGGGCTCCTCTAGAACACTGGGTGGCATGGCAGCACGCTAAAACACTCCAAGCCCAATTAGGCCGCTATTAAGTCAATGATTATACATATCTTCCTAATTCCTAACGGAGGCACTAGCGCCCGAACGTCCGGCGCCCACAGCGTGTCCGGACGCAACTCCTAGTCCCAGCGAACCGAACCGTGGCCCATCTCCCGGTCACAGGCCCATCGCAGCTCTCCCCCTGTCCGCCTTCACCCCGACCTCGTCCGCCTTCGTCCCGCCCCACGCACGCACTCTACCCCTGTCTCTGCACCCGCCGGTCGCCCCTGATCCCCTCCTCTCTCTCTCTCATGGTGGCACTTTCGGGAGCAGGATGAGCAGTGAGGACGAAAGACGCCCCAGCCATGGCCGGACCGCAGATACCCCCGTCCGCCCAGCCCCAGTACAAGCAAGTGCCCCCATCCATGGGTCCTTGAGTTGCCCCAGGCTAAACAACATAAAACACTTGCAACATGAATGTTACATAAGACTGAAAACAGATAAAATATTTTGAAACATGCTTTTGCAACATGTGTGTGAAACACATGAAACATCCGAAATAAAACACTTGCAACTTGCAACATTATACCACTTGCTACAACATAAGACTGAAATAACTGAAACATTTGGAAACATATATACTATTGCAACATATGCAACATCCACATCAAAAACGATTGCAACATACGTCTGAAAATAGATAAAACATTTTGAACAAACGCTTGGAACATGCCTTTGAAAACACCTGCAACATATGCAACATGTGCAACATCCATCGATCTATTTTTGTAACATCAAGATGAAACAATTGCAATATACATCTAAAACGCCTGAAATACTTAAAACATACATATGCAACATATGGGAGGGAAAGATCGGGCTGGTCGATTTCGGTCGTCGGCATCGGAGCCGGCGACGAGCCGTGGCGCACGAGCACCACCAGCACCGCCCACGCTCGTGGGTGCCCTTGGCTCGACCGGGGAAGACCTGAGGCGCCACGGCACCTGCGCCCCAGCAGCCATGGCGGGGTCAGCGGCGTCCACGGCGGTAATGGGAGATAAACGGATGGATAGACGGCGAGGGAGAGCAAGCGGGACAGGTGTGTGGGACGGGCGCGCCGAGCGGGCAGGCAGATAAGCGTGAGGGAGGGGGGGGATTTTTTTTTGTTTGGAGTCTGCTCCTGTGGAGTCATGTCCGGACGGAAGTCACGGACGGACGTCGTAGTTGAATCTTTTCCGAATACCTAACCCTATCTTCTACTTCCCTCGTGACTCCTCCCTCCCCACGCCTCCCACTCATGCCACGCCGTGCGACTCTTCCCCTACATACGTGACTCCTCGCTCCTCCGGCCAGCGGCGTGCGCCATGTGACTCCTCGCTCCTCCGACTCACGCGGTCCTGCCGCTGCTTTCGGTCTCTTGGCTCTCGCGACTACTGCTCGTGCGACTGCTCCCTCCTCGATTCCTGCCGGCGCTGGTTCTCTTGAGCGTCATCTCCTCTCCTTGTCCACACGTATCTTGTATCTCGAAAGAGCGGGCGGCATGCAAATTTACCTACCTGTGTAACGTGCTACCAACATGATATGGACTGTTAGAGAGAAGTGGAGACAACGCGTGCGACAGAGACGTAACACAAACGTAATTACTCGTTTTTAAGAGCCAGGTGTCCGATCCTTTGCCCCCTGTCTCTCTTTTGATCCAATCCAACAAGTAGATAATACTATTAAAATCACACAGTCTCTGATGGTCTCTTGTGGACGCGGAGGAGATCAAATGCAGGCGAGCCAGGTAGCTAGTAATAACCACAATGGTGTATATTGGTATGACAACGCAAACCACACACCCTTTACACAGTAAGTGACCGAGTAGTAAATTATGGTTAAAAAAAAACAGTACACGCGTCCAACACGGTTTGCCGGGCCAGGCTATAAATTTCCTTGCCCTCGCCAGCCATTTGTGCTCACACACAGATCCAGCAGCATGCAGTGAAACACAGGTTATCATCATATATAGCTACAAACCTACAACGAGGACTCGATCGGTCATCGTTCGAGAGAGTGAGCTAGCATACGGCTAGCTAGGATGATGAGGAGCGCACTAGTGGTATGGCTGTCTCTTGTCGTCATGGCTGCGGCCGCCGCCGCCGTCGACGATAAACGGGAGCCGAGGCCGGTGATCACTCCAAAGCCAAAGCCACAGCCACAGCCCGATCCAACACCAGAGCCCACTAAACCAAAGCCCATGCCGCAGCCGCAGCCACAGCCCGATCCAACACCAGAGCCCACTAAACCAAAGCCCATGCCGCAGCCACAGCCACAGCCACAGCCCGATCCAACACCAGAGCCCACTAAACCAAAGCCCATGCCGCAGCCACAGCCACAGCCGAAGCCGGAGCCTCAGCCGGGCCCGGGCAAACCCAAGCCGAAGCCGCCAGCGGACTTGCCGGGCACGCCCGGTCCTTGATGGTGTTGTATAAACAAGCAAGCTGCATGAGCTTAATATTAATAAGCGGCTGGCATGCATGCATATGCTTTACGTTTAATATAAATAAGCGTAGCTGCCTGCAGTCTGCGTTTCACGACTACTGCCTGCGCACGTACGTGTATGTCATGTTCCATCACACTACTGTGTACGTGTGTAAAAGAGTATGTGTATGTGTTGTTTGTTTCTCGTGCCTCTACTATCTAATAAAGGCTACTGCTTGTTGTACGTGTTATTGTGCAGTCGGATCACACCTGTATCGATGAATAAAAAGAGATTGTCTGTGTGCATGTATGATTGTGTGTGTTGGTGTTGGCTATCATGGTGTTTGGTTTGGAGAGTGGTCGTCACATCCAGAATCACTTGGTTTAGTCTCCAGTGTATGAAGTCATCTGACGGTTTCACGAGAAATGGCTTGGTCTGAAGGTTTAGCTCTCTGATGGGATGAGCCAGGGACGACGAAGAACGAGTGTCGTACTCATGATATACAAACCAAATGGCCTAATTAGACTTGGATCATCCATCATTCCGCACGGTACCGTGACACAAACGTAACAAACATGCAGATGCAATATATCTTGATAGATTAACGTGGATCTAAATACCTAGTAATCCAAGCTGTCATAACCTTTTCAAGTGGCCCTGTTTTTGAGTAATAATTCAGCAGTACTTTTCAATGAAGGAATAATATTTTTTCTCTCACAATAAATCAAAATAAGCAACAACATAAGCTAAATTTCAGCGAAACAAACAGGGCTATGTCGGTAATTTTTTTTCACTGCTGGCTTCTTCAGCGAAATGTTCAGAGAACAATTACCACAGAAAGTCCAGGTTGACAAAGAGCGTGGCAAGCTTGCTGCCACTTATGTAGCGTCGTAGTCGTTTGGGCGAGTGGGCAAACTTTTGCACCTCTATATGTGTTTGGCAGTGCTAGCGTCCGGACAACCGCGCCTGCACTCCGCGTACCGTCCGATCCTACGCAGCGTCTGCGCCCCACCCGAGCCCACGTGGTGTCTGCGCCCCTGCTCGACCCCAAGTGGGGTCTGCGCCCCGCCCGATCCCTCGCGCCCCCTCCAACTACTGCAGCAGGTGGGTCCTGTTGCAACATATGCAGCATCCGATCTACGTTTAATACATTTAGATATAAAGCTTGCAACACACGTATGAAGACAAATAAAACACTTGAAACATGTATATAAAACACTTGCAAAAACACCTGAAAATACTTGAAAGCCATTGCAAACATACACGACATCTAAATAAAACACTTACAATATTTGTGTGAAACATATGCAACATTAAGATAAAACTCCGAATTCCTCCTCCCTTCCTTGGGCACGAGTTTTTTTTTGGCGCTAGATGTTTCGGCGCGATCTGGTTTACATCGGATCACCGTTGTCGCGTTCAGTTTGCCTCCGTCGCAAGCCGCGCTGGTCGGCGGTGGCAGGGCGCTAGCATGCACGTGCCGTGGGCGGCGGCAGGAATTACACGCCTGCTCGTACTACGGCAGGAACCATGCTAGCTGGCTGGCGAGAGCAGTGGTGGGTGTTGCCGGATGTTGGGAACACGGCAGCCTGGTGTACGGCGGCGGCCGTGCTCGGAAGCGGAACGGCTCGTCTCCGGTAAAACCTAAAAACAAATTAATGTGGGCCCTACCTAGCTTTTAGAGAGTTATTATAGATAACTGTTGGTGAAGGACAAAAATTAATATTGCTATTTCTTTTATTAACTAGCTAGATTTGTTAGTTCACCAAGTAAATTATACTAAATTCTTGGAGATGCTCTAATAGTACGGTATAATCCTTTTCTCCTTTTGTCTAAAATAAACCAATTTTTAGAGTTGTCCCAAATTATTTTTTTAGATTTAACTAAATTTATTCATAGAAAAGAGCATTAATATTTATGACATCAATCAATACCTTAAAATATAATATTTTTATAATCTATTCATAAATATTATCTTTTTTTTTTATTCTCAAGTCGATCGAATTAAGATATTTTGATTTAGAGTTGTCATTTTATGGGTTTTTATTTTGGGACGAGGAGAGCGGGAAATGCATGAGTTCTTTTAGATGGTGAGTTTCTACGAAGAAAGTCCAAAGTTGGACTTACCTAATTTTGACCATTAGAAAAATATATTAACATTTATAAGTTTAAATAAATACATTATCAAAACAAGGAGAATTGAATGAAACTAATTGGATATTGTCAATGTTGATGAATTTTTTTTATAAACTTACTTAAAGTTAGAGAAGTTTGACTTAGAACAAAGCTATAAACTAATTTAAAATGGAGAAGATACTTGGAGTCAAGAATTGGACACCGCTAGTTTTTAGAGGAAAATTTATGTGTGGTCCTCGAACTTGGCATGCATCTATGTCATGGTACTCTTAAAATGCTAGTTCTAGGTCCTTCGACTTGGTTTCGGGTCGCATCTATGTCCAAATAGATGTTAACCCACAGATTCGCTGACGTGGCACGTATCTGACCTGTGGGGCCTATGCCATCCAACCAGACCGAGCCCCCTCGGTCCCCTGACCGCGGCGGCCTCACCGTTGACCGGAGCCGACGGCGGTGTGCCGGCCTTCGCTTGCCTTCTTGGCCACCGCCGGGCATGGTGTCCGGCCTACCATGGCCGTCGCCAGGCATGGGGCCGGCCGCATATCGGCTCGACTCGCCTTCGCCGCTGTCGAGCGTTGGGTCTGTAAGTTATTAGGACCGGACCGGATCTACGGTCCAACCGGTAAAAGATCGAACTAAAGACTATATCGGTCTAGTTCACTTAAAAGACCGTTCGTGCAATCGAACCAGGAGAAATCGGTTGAACCGTACGGTTTTTCACTGAACCGGTGAACCGGCCGGTTTCAATTTGAGCCGGGCAGTTCGAGGCTGCTAGGGCGTGCAGGACTGCAGCGTGGTCTGGGATGGCCGTGATTGTTGGCGTGCGCATGGCCACATGCTGCATGCCGCACCTGCCGCGGGTGGGCCAGGCTGCTGGCTTGGATGTTGCGTTAAGCCGTGTGAGCTTGTTAACGTGTGCATGCATGTGTTGACTTTTGGCAGCCCTTTCTTTTTCTATTTCAAAATTTTATAACTATTTAATATGAGCTCTAAATTAGACAAATAATAATATATCCATTTTAATTATCTCAACGAGTTCTTGACAATGATGCACTTTATTTTAGCATTTAAGATTTTTTGCAATAGTGAATATTTTAATAACTATTTAAGTCTTTTTTTGCACCAATCTGTAAATGCTTCATATATTATTTTGTCATGCTCATTTTTTAGTTTTTAGTAGATGTTTTGGACTTGTGGCTAGATTAGTTGAGAGCTAATTATATGATTTAGTTTTTTATCATGTAATTTGTATATATGATCAACTATATATGCTAATTATTTGTTGTACATCATTATATTGTACCGGTCCGATGTATTTGTGGCAGGTTCAATTCATCCGGTCCAAAATTATCGAACCGGCGGTTCAACCGGTTCTTAACGGTTGAACCAGTCAACCGATACCGGTTTGATGTCCGGTCCGATCCTAATAATTATGGTAACGACCCGAGTGCGTTGCACCATAGGCTTTCACTTTTGGATACCCGAGGCACGACCCATTGGATTCCATGGGTACCCCTAGCCAGCCAAGCCAAAGAGTGTTACGCCATAGTAACCGACTACATAACGACACACAAGTTAACTGCCGGTCAACCAAGACAACCAAGCGAACGTCAAAGGAAGACGTCAAGTGAAAAACCCAGCTTAAGGCATTTATGTTTACTAAAGGAATGGGCAAAGCCATTGCAAGCCTCAATATGGACTCAAGGTCAGAGAAATCAGGTTCTCAAGTTTGGATAGGCGAAACCAGAGTCTATCAGACAGTCCACCATGTTTTTCGGACCATCCGATAAAAGTACAGAGACTGCAGATTGAGTTGGAAATGAGCTATCATCCATTAAGGGGCATGGCCCACATGTCAGCACGAACTAGAGATATTTCCTAACACCTGAACCTCAGCTCCACTCACTCTCCTCTCATTTCCCTCACACACTCTCTCTAGAAGAAAGAACAAGAGAAGGAAAGGATGAACTAGAGTGAGAAAGTGAAGAAGAAGAAGGTGGAGAAGTGAACCAAGATTGCAAGAGCAGCAAGATCAGCATCTAGATCAGGCACTTGAGCTCCCACAATCTCTCATCTCATGGATCTTTTGGTGAGAAGCAACCCAAGTAAGAAATCTCTCTGTTTAGCTTGGAAGCAAGAAGGACAAGTGTGGATCTTCAACCTTGATGACAAGGAGTTCATCAAGAGCCCAAGCTAAGTTGTCGTGCTCAATCTCTCTATATCCTAAGGGTTTTCTCTTAGATAAGGAACCACTAGTTACACTAGTTAACCCAAGCCTAAACCATAAGGAATCCCAAGCCTAGTTGTCAACCTAAGCTATACTAGGAGTGTCATGCACATGCATGAAGGCCTCAACCAAAGATCTAGGCATGAACCCCAAGTCATCACCCAAGAACCCAAGAGCATAGGTTCTGTTGCCCACCTGATGGAGTGTCCGTCATTCCCGAAGATTAGTCAACTATAGCTTAAGTTTCCTTCTGAGCGACATCGTGGAGTGTCCGCCACTCACGATGGAATGTCCGCTGATTTATAGAGGAACACGTCCAGGGAACCCGAGAGCATCCATCCCATACCGGAGCGTCCGTCACTCACGGTGGAGCGTTCGATGAATTATAAGGAACAATCACCACTACAAGAAATATCCAGTTGTGACCTTATAAGAAATTGTCGTAGAAATCTCTAATCTGTGACGGTTCGTGTAGGAGCGAGGATTGGCCCGTTTGGCCCAAGTCGCAAAAAAATATCGTTTGGCCCTATTATCCACCCCCTAAAGAGATCGACGCATCTAGGCCTCCCTTATCCGCTCCCGAGCCAGCGTCGCAACTCCTCTTCATCCCGCACACGACAGGCGGCCTAGGCGA